AAAACTTCTACCAAACAACCAGTTTAAATCAAATCTAGTTTCCCCATGAACATTTTAATGAGAAAAACATGAGAGCGGCCAGCATGGTGGTACCATGAGTCCAATGGCTTCTTGCCAAGCCCACATCCTGGATCAGGGTACCAATGGAAGTGCCTGCTGTTTCAGTTCCAATTGCGCTCCCTGCTAATGTGCCTGGGAGAGCAGGGGAAGAGGAACCAAGTTCTTGGGTCCCTGGAAACAAGTTGAGATACCCAAATGAAGTTTCAGCTCCGAGTTTGTCCAGGTCCAGCTATTGCTGCCATTTGGGGACAAAACAAACAAACAAAAAACAGATGGAAGATGGATTTGCTCTCTTCTTTTTCTGTGTCTCTCACTTTCTCTGTCTCTGTGTCTGTCTCCTGTGTCTCTGCGTCTCTTGCTCTGTCTCTGCTTCTCTCTCACTGTCTCTCTCCTTACTCTGCCTCCCTCCCTTTCCCTCTGCAACTCTGTGTTTCAAATAAGTAAATAAATCTTTAAAAACAGGCACTTCGGTTATTGAAAATTGAATGAAATTTCTCTGTTTTGACTCTTCAGAAAAGTCTTGGGACAGAAAACTTGGGCAGACCTAGACAGTTGCGTTTAAAATAGTATTTGGGGGCCCAGCATGATAGACTAGCGGCTAAATCCTCTCCTTTGAAAAATGAATGATACATCAGCACATTAAGGGACTTTCATTGAAAATATAAAATAATCTTATTCTTGGAAGAGAATTCTGGGGAAAAAATGTAAATAAATACATTGTTTCCTGAATCTTTTTAGACATCAGAGCTGATTAAAGAAGATAATAGGCCTTTAGTTATGGGACTAGATTATGAGTCAATTTTGAGAGTCACTCCATTTAAATGCCACTGACACATTTCAGATAAGATCATCAAATAAGTGGATTCTATGTATTTTAAAAGAGCGTAGGGGGAAGAAGGAAAGAGGAGGGAAAGGAAATAAAGAGAGAACTGAGAAATTGAAAGACAACTGATTTTGCTCTGACTCCCAAGAAATTTCTGATCAAATTATTTCCCAAACCACTACTTGAAAACCTGACCAAATTTATGGATAGATCAACATATTCTCAAGAATTTTCCAAGGCCCAGACTGTCCTCATGACACTCCACATTGATTTTCTACACTTACCCCAGCCTTAGGCTAGCACACTGTTGATTTTCTACATATTTGGTGAATGGTCTAAATGCTATCTAAGTACCTGTATTGACCGTGGGATAATGATGAAGAAATTAAGAATTGAAATGTCTGACTCATGTTGTCATCATTTCATAGGCTGAATCAAAAGAAGGAAAACACATTTTAAATAAAATAAGCCACTTGCTGGAAAAGCTCGAGAGAACCCATACAATGTCATGCTTAATCATTATATCAAATGTAATGTCAAAAATTTACAAATAAAAGGAATTTTAGGAAAAATATCTTTCATTAAAATTAATGGCGAAAAGCTTTAGCTTTGGTAGTTCTAAAAACCCAGAGTTTTCCAGATAAAAGACAGATGCTCCCCTCTTTGGTCACTTTTTATCTATTGGCATGCATGCATCTTCATTTTTGAATTGAATAAACCTTGTAGGGACTTGAGTGAACAATTCACCTTGTTTTATGTAAGAACTACTTTACTTTTAAGTAAAAACACATTAAGTTAAAAAGGTGTGGTCTACACCAACTCACAAACTTTGTTCTTTGACCAAGAGATCAAACAGACGTCAAGATTTTTAGGGGGAAAAAAAGCATATACTGTTACCTGGCTGTGTTAGACTTTGTGAAGAACTGCTAAGCAGTTATTCTGTCACCAAAGGACAAGGAAAATCCTCCTGGATTCATGGGAACCACATCAAGCTAGAACCAACTCATTAGTCCCAGGACACTGGAAGACCATGGCTGTTGGCACCTGTGCACCAACTCTAAGATTCTAGAAGCAGCTGACATCACAAAGATCAGAGTTTTCCTCATGATTACAGACTGAGAAACTTGGTTATCATCTGGCTTCCCCTGATAAGCCTCCCTCCTACCTCGGCAAAGAAACCCACAAACACCAAACCTCTTAAATAAAACCTTCCTTATCTTTTGAAAAGCCGCTAGGTAACCTATTCTAATCTCACACTATCCAACCTTCCAGTATGGGTTCCCTTTCAAAATGTGTCTCTCCCTTCATATGCTTACTTTTTAATAAATAAGGCAGGCACAAACCCAATTTGTCCTGCACACCTTTTCCAAAGCCTGTTTATGTTAGTAATCCACCTCAATGCTGATGAACAGATCATGTGAAACATAAAGCTTAATTTCATCTTATTTTTGCCAGTGAAAGCGCTAGGTAGGCTAACCTTTGGAAGGTGAATAAATAAAACAGGAAAGCTCCACTCTTCAGTTCCTGCTAGTTCATTTCACCTGGAAATGCTTCTGCATAAAGCTTACAGCTACTCCTTACACAGGTGAAAACACTGCAAGTGGATTTTGTCCACTTTTACCAAAAGAAAGATGGTCCTGAAGCCTTCATGATTGACGAACCAAGGCAATATTGTCATCAGTCTGTATCATTTGATTTTTTCCCAGCAGCCCACTCAACCTTTAGGTAGGTTATATATTATTCTGGAATGACCTTTTATGCCAAAAAAAAACTTTAGCCAAATCTCAAGAATTCAGGGTCTCACGTAGCAAGTGTCACTATATATACTGAAGTGTAGTTGCCAACCACAAATGAGCCTTGACACAGTGACCTGGAAGGGGCAGGGATTGCTCCCCACATTGTTTCTGCTCCGTTCCAAATTCTTCATGGTGGAAGAATTGGGGACTCTGTGATTTTTTTTTTCATACAGTTGCTTATATTGACTGTTACCCCACAGGTCTCTCTTTCTTGCCAAGAAATTAAGTTGTAAATTTTCCATGATTCTTTCTGCACTTGGGCTCTGGCACCTGCTGGCCTCTTGTGGCTGTTCCTGGAATGCACTGCTTCTCTCTGCTTCTGATACTTTTAGTCTCTCTGCTGCCTGGCTCTCACCTCTCCACTTGGTATTTTCTGATGGATGCTGTAAGTACTGATGCTGCTTTGGATTTGGTCTCTCATGTTTGTTGGCAACTTAAGAACAGGAATAGAGATAAACCTGAGAAAGGGTATGGTTTATAACTTCAGAATGCTCCTATCAAAGGCAATGACAAACAAAACCAGAGGAGACGGGAAAGTAGGGGAACTGTGTGAGTGCTGACTGTGACCTCTGACAGTGGGTAGGCCAATAGGCAACGTAAGGAAAGAGCAGGGAAATATAAAACCTGCATTATTTTCAGGGTGGAAATCTTTCTTATTTATCTAACTAATTATTAAACTAGGAAATAGAAGGAATCCACACACTCAGGAAAATTTAGTCCACTCTAACCTCGTCATTAATGGTGACTCACAAATATCTTATTTCCTTCTCTTCCTCACCTCTTTCTGTATTTTCAGTCAGACCCAAAGGGGAGGAAGTTATTAAAGGCTGTTTAATAACATCCAGGCACAGAAGCTTAATGCAACCCTTGAGACACTCCAACCAATTGGAGTGCTTGGGAGTGAGTCCTACCTCTGCTTTCACTGACCAGCTTCTGGCAATGCAACTGGAGGCAGTAGATGACAGCCCAAGTATATTCTGTATTCTATACTTCACCACTGCTTGTCATTCCATTTTAATTCAACAAATATTCAGAGAGCATTGACTTTTGCTATGCCACACATTATTTAAATATTCACAACATATTACATACAGATTTTGCATAGAAAGACCAAGGCTGATAACTATGTGAGTATGTTTTTATTTGAATTTTATATTTAACAGGAACTTATTGACAACAGTGTGGCATTAATGACTGTCATTTTATTCCAAAAAAAGGACAATATACTATATTTTGGAGGTGCCTATAGCAGAAAAACAGCTAGGCAACATTGATGGAAAATTAAGCTAGAAGGGAGAATCATATCATAGATAACTCGGTGATTTTTTTTCTGTTCTACATTATTGCTGTGTAACAGCGTGGTTGGTAGCTTACTGCACCCATAGGGAAAACCCACAAGAGGCTCCCAGCTCCTGGCTTCGGGCAACTCATCCATTCTAGCCATCGTTGATTTCATCATGTGTTGGATTTATATACACTATGATACTGTCTGTTTTGTATTTTTCTCCTGTATACCTTTTCCATGTCTTCTTTTACATTAAGTGATTTTTTTTTACTAATGTGGTCTCTTCATGTTTTCTTTAAAGATGTATTCATTTTATTGAAAAATAGATTTACAGAGAGAAGGAGAGACACAGAGAAAAATCTTCTAGCCAGTGGTTTTCTCCCCAAAATGACTGCAACAGCCAGAGTTGAGCCAATCTGAAGCCAGGAATCAGGAGCTTCTTCTGGGTCCCTCACACAGGGACTGTTCCAATCCATCTCTTTGCAATGAGCTGGAAGCAGCTTGCCTTGCCTCAGTGCCTGCCCTCTTGGCAGAAGCTAGAGCAGGACAAGTTCTGCACTGAGGCAGATGAGTGTGGGATGCAGATCCCTGGAGGAAGCCAAGGGCTGAAACAGAAATTCTGCATTTGGTCCTCTTTGGTGGGCCAGTGTACCCAATCATGCCTTGAATGACCTCTTCTATTGAATCGAGAATTATTTAGTAACATATCCTTAAAGAAACTGGTAACTGAAAAAAGTCTTTGAAACCAATAATTTAATGTTCATGTCAGTGTTCACATATGTATATTCATCCAAAGATCAAAACAGGCCAGCTTTAGTTTAAATACAATGTATACATTCCAATAACAAAACAAGGTGCGTTGAGTTGGACTCCTGGATGTGATCTCTAGCCAACATGGCAAAAACTAAAGTAATATGTTTTTGGTTTTGTTTGCATTAAGTGACATGCATGTCTCCTTCTAATACTTCTCAGTGGAATTCACAGGAGAGAGAAAATGTCCTGAGTTTTGTCTTTTTCTTAAGTGATGACTCTGAATGCCACACAATTCCCTTTATACTCAATTATCTCACAAGTGGATGCTCTGATAACCTGCTACAACCAGGAGGAGCAATGCTATCAGTGAGCTGGAACGTGGGGAAACCTCAGGGCAGCCATCAGCTGTCTTCATTTCTCTGCAGTCAGCTCCCTCATAGCCCTGATAACAATGACAGGAGAACTTCTCGGCCATCACCGCCAGGTCTCTATCAGATGCTTTGCCCTTCACAATGAATTCGTCATCCTCAGAGGCCTCTATGTGGAAACTTGCAGGGTTCAAGTGCAGATAATCAGGTGCTTCCCACATCTTCCTTATGCACCTGCCGTTATTCTTGCAGAGGTGAAGGCTGCAAACCTCAGCAGCTCTCGTCACATTGACTATGTAGCTCCCCAAATCAGAGCTCACGTACCGCTTCACTTTTGTACAATTCCCCTAGAAATGTAGAAACAAATGGGTTTCAGTGCTTTTCACAGTACTCAGACAATCGGTTTCTAGACCTACACAACAGCTCTTTGCAGTGGACTGAAACCTTACGTCTGATGGCCTGTTGCTGGTGAACTCAGACTCCTAGGCACTATAACACAAGGATCCCCACATTAGGAAGGAAGGAGACAGGTAGAGTGGACAAAAGATGGAAAGTATGTTGCAGGTGGACCAAGAAGCTGAATTTACAAAAGGGCCCAAGTCAGCAGGTGAGACTGGCTTCCCCCATCACACTCTTTTGTCCTCCATCTAGCTCACAAATCAATGGGTATAAAAGTTAAAGCAACAATTAGGATTTATGCCAGACCTGCTACAGCAGACCACCTCTCAGGTAGAGGATGCCTTTCATGGTTGTGTTAGAATCTGAATCATAGTCCACTGAGTTAGTGTTGAACATCAGTAAGGCTGTGGGTTTTCTTGTCAATTCTGTTCATATTTTACTTGTTCTGGATCTTACACATCCATATACAATTCAAACACAGGCAAGCCAGCAAGAAGAGTTAGATCACTTCTCTCTGTTATTCCTATGACATGTTTTAAATGGAGGCTGCTTGGACCTCTCTTCATGAGTCTCCTGGGACTCGACTTGTGTCTAATCCTCAGAGGTGGTCATAACCATAAAAATGTTCATGAAGAATAATACCAACAGCAGCAAACTGGGCCTACAAGATGCTAAGAATAATATCAGATCATCATGGCCTTGTAATAAATATAATTGAATAAAATGTATTGAGGATACAAGTATCAAATCAAAATATGTGACACTGTAAAGATATAAACTAATGACACAAGGAAACACGGAAGAGATTAATGTGAACTGGGGAAAACTAAGAATATTTCTTGGAGGAAATATCTCAGCTGGGAGAAATGTGAAGAGATACATAAATCTTATTTTAAATGCTTTAATTTTCAGCTGATTTCTCTGTTGAGAAAAAAAAGTAAATTCAATAGGAAGGTTGAAGAGTTACCATCTGTTACCACTTCTCAAACAAGGATAAAATGCATTTAATGCAATGGTTGAGCGTATGGGTTCCAGGGTCGAACTAGCTGTGCTTGATACCAGATCCACTGCTAACTGTTCTGCTGGTTAGATCTCCACTGTTTTCTCATCTGTACATAAGGATTGCCTCTATCTCATTTGACCAGTAAGGGGGCAGATCCAAAGGAAAAACTCTTAGCCATGTAGAAAATATTAAACAGATGCCACTGTTATGATGATTTTCACAAAAAAAGTCATTGACCCATTCTGTGTGTCAGGCATTTATTCTAGAGCTGATGACTGTGGGCCATGAGAGATTTATTAGAACGAGCTGTAGAGGAAAACAAAGCAAGTACTCTAAGCAGCAGATGAAATACACCTCCAACATGCAGACTTACCTCTGATGAAGTGAAGTTCATGTCACCCCAGATAACAATGCCTGCTGCTCCCAAAGCAGCACTTTCTCCTATGGTACTGATCAGGTCTTGCTAGATTGAAGAGAACAGAGTTCATTACTAATTAGACTAGACAATAACCCGCCGGGGATCGGGACTAGAGACGGTGATGTTCTATGGAGCGGGAGTAAGCTCCTGTATTCCACAGACTACCTCCACTCTTACAACAACACAAGTGCTCAATGAATCAATCTTACAAAATCACCCTCTCTAATCACATGCCAATGTATATAAACATGCTTAAGGAAAGGCACATTTTGTCATGCAAGAAATGTTGAAGGCAATTAGCTTGCTTGGAAATAGTCATCAAATGTGTTTAACTGAATTTGATTAGGGGCATCTACCCAGAAACCAACCACGTCTTATGACCCAGAAACAGTTCACGTTTGTTTTTTCTTTCTCCAAATGCAATCCTTTTAGGCAGGATTTTGTGACATGCCTTTATGGAACTTTTCCTTCTTAGAGACTCAGGATAATTTTGTGTTATTTCAGTTCCAAGGTCAGGCCAAAAACCAATGCTAAAAGCTTGCTGATTGGTCTAGGCTATCTATTTAATTCCTGGCCTTCTTGGTGCTAAATTTCAGTGTGTCTCATTTTAACGGGCTTTATTTATGACTCATTTTCTACTGTAAAGGCACTCAGGGTTTTTTTAATATGGCTAAAATAGATGAGAAGATTTCAGGAGAAAACATTTTGATTTTATAATGGTACAAAAGATTTATTTATTATCTGAAAGGCATGGAGAGAAAGGGAGAGTGTGAGATTGTCCTCTGACATACTTCCCAAGAAACCACAATAATCAGATCTGGACCAATCCACAGCCAGGAGCCATGACTTCATCTGAATCTCACATAGGGATGCTGGAGGGCAAAGCACCTGTACTGTCCTCCATCTGGATCTCCCATGGGAAAGTGGAGGGCCAAGTACCTGGTCTATCCTCCATCTGGATCTCCCATGGGGAACTGGAGCGCCAAGCACCTGGACTATCCTACACTGTTTTCACCAAGGTACATTGGCAGGAAGCTAGGTCAGAAGTGCAACAGAGTTGGCCAAAGCACCCAAAGAAAAGAATGCAACAGCCTTTGTGGTAACCTAGGTTCTAAACTTGAAATTGATCTTTCCCCTAATTCTACTTCATAGTCCTGAAACTGTCCATTTTCTAATCAGACCAAAGAGCAAAAAGGAATAAAAAATGCAAAACATCTTAGCAACCTGTGCCACTAGGTATAATTTTGTGAGATTTAAATTTTTTTTTTATAGCTCTTACGTGTCCTTTCTCAGTGTATTATCTCCTGTTTTCTCTGCCTGCCATGGGGCACCTCAACACTGGGTGACACCCATGGGATCTCTTCCATCTGATCAGTGAATGGGGAGAACATAGTGACCATTGGGATAGAAAGGACTCTTTCTAAAAAATAATAAATAAAGTTTAAAATTTTTAAAAGATATTGTATACATTTTACAGCCTGGCTATCAGCTTGAGATCTTGCTGTCAAGTATATTTCTCAATCTGTATTTATCCACTACATCAATAAATATTAATGGCTAAAACTCAAAAAAGAAGAAGAAGTGGAGTAGCCAGGCTTCTACCTTATTGAATTACAGTAATGTTTTCCCACTCTATAGGATACCAAGCATTTGCTTTTTACTCCAAGAATGAATTTCATCAGTTACACGCTAGCAAGGATAATTAAGTGATTGGCAAAATATAAAAACAATATCTTAAACTTGTGCTTGGCCTTAGTATCAACATTCCTCGTCTGATATTTGTATAGTCTTTACAACTAAAGATCGTAAAATTCCAGCTTTTAAAGTCTCTTTTATCTTCCCCTCCATGGGAAATTTTCTGGTGATTTTCAAAAAAGGTAAGAGACTTTGAGCTAACTTTCCATTCAGTTCACATTCATTTCCATGCCCATAATCATAGTGACTGTCGAACAGATCACAAGAAGAAGACATTTTCTGAGATCCAAGGTTCAAAATTTATTTTAAAATGTGAGAGTTTTTAAAAAAATATTTATTTGAAATGTCAGATATACAGAGATTGAGACAGACAAAGAGAGAGATCTTACATCTATTGATTTACTCCCTGAACAACAACAAGAGCTAGAGCTGAGCCCATGGGAAGCCAGGAGCCTCCTCCAGGTCTCGCATGTGGATGTGGGAGCCTACGGACCTGTGCCATCCTCCACTGCTCTCCTAGGCCATAAGAAAGGGAGTTGGATGAAAAGTGGAGCAGCCAGGACACGAACTGGTAACCGTATGGGATGCTAGCACAGCACGTGGAGAATTAGCTTGCTATGTTACCCTGCTGGCCCCAAATTAAAGGATTCTGAAAATTATTAGGAATGTGATAAGCAGGAAAGGAAGAAAATCCGTGCAGCAACTGGGCTGCCAATTCTGCTGCTCTTCGTCCTCTTCATTCCATGACATTGAAACTTCCCTGGATAGAGACAAGACCTCACATGCTGCAGGGGGCAGAACTCCTCAGCAGCCTTCCTTTGAATGAAGGCGTTGTCAAAAGAGCCGGAAGTTCACACCACATTGGTGTTTCCTGTATATAAGCTAGTGATCCGTATGCAGTAAGTGTAGGAGTTACGGAAGTTTGCGGCGGCAGTTACAATATCCGAGGAGATATTAGTTTCTTTCCAATGTGTCCTTTCATGTCATTGTGAGAAGTTTCATTGGAAGTGATGTAAAACGGAAATTTACGGAAGCGGCAGTAGATATTAATGCGAAGTTGTCGCTTGCTTAGTTTACAGTCACTTTGCAAAGAACAGGGCAATTCCTGAGTCCCAGAGCAGAACAACCAGGGAAGTCACAGATGAGGTGCTTCTGAGAGTGGACCCAAGAGCCACAAGAGTGACACCACACGGAAGACAAAAGAAAGGAATGTAGAAACAGTGACACTGAGCCCCCAGGTCCCAGACGGGTACAGAGCTGGTTGGCCTCTATGCATTCATTGTGATTGGATTAAAGTTTGAGAGAGCATTCCACTGCAGCCTGACTCTTACAAAGTGAACATCGGTGAGATCCCCACTATGGGGCGCTGGAGCACCATCAATGTGGGGGCTAAAAGCGGGAACTTGAAAATAGTTTGCCACTCAGAAATGGGGACAGTGGGAGACCTAAACCGTTTTGTTTTGTTTTGTTTTCCTACCCCCAGGAAGAAACCAGAAGTTTTTTCTGAAGCAAAAGTTACCAAAGAAAGATCTTCCAGGTTTACACCGCATGCAACCTGTAATCTAAACTTATCTCTCCACGAAAGAACTTTGTTCCTCTTAGAGTTTCTTGCTTCTTCCAAAAATATAAGCCTTGTCACTAAGGGATTTGCCGAGCAATATCGGAAGGAAGTCCCATAGAAGAAGCTTATATTGCTTTTCAATTCCAGAGTTAAGATCATTCTGTAAATATTTAGGCATCCTTTTGAAGTCTTCCAGGCTGTGCCAATTTCTTATTATGCTGCACTAGTTGCTTTAGCTAAAACTGATTTTTTTTCTGTGTAGTATCAATGTCAGTCAAGGACGGACTTTCTTCTCCCCCGTGCCCATCTTGTGAGTGATTTCAGAGGTTAAGACAGTTGCCCTGCTTTGTGCATCGGCACCTTCCCCTCTGGTGAACACACTGCTCATCAGGTACATTAGATACCTGCTAATCGGGTACAGCCCACACCAAAGTGTTCGCCAAACTTCTTCCTTAGGAAATATAACACTCAGAATGCCTTTGTATTTTAACACATGCTGGTAAGTGGAAAGTTGTAATCATAGGAAAAGATTAGATGATATTAAAGCCTTGGTACCCAGTACTATCTGTATCAGCAATGTGAAGGCCTGAGTAGAAACCTCGAGTCTTCACCGTGTACAAAGTATACATGCAACTACTCAAATTCAAGGACCAAGGACCTAGAGATTTCCATTGAAGAGTGTATACTGGCAAAGGGCAAAGGGCGAAGGGGGAGAAAATCTGGCTCAAAACTCACATAGTTTATTCTTTATTTTCTCCTATTGTGAAAGTTAACTCATGGGCAGCAGGTACACTTAAGCAAAAATAGACAACTAAACTTTGTATGTGTAAGTTTTGACCTGGGCTACATATGATACTCTTGTAATGCCAGCATTAAGTGTAGAAATACAAGTCTTAGTGATGTCCCATTAGTTTTCATTAGAGGCAAGGGAAAGCCAGATGGTTTTCACCTTCTGCCTCATAATTTTAACATTCTCAGGAAGCTGCAGCCAGGAATTGAAGCCCAAGAACTCAGGCCCTCTGACAGAGGAAGAGTCAGACTTAACTGCTAGCCCAAGCACCCAACTGTATTATTATTATTATTATTATTTTAATTCTGCTTCCCATCAACCTTTTGGAGTTTCCTTGGGCAGTTGAGCAGTTTTGTGTATGTGCAAACCGTTATGGTCGCACCATGGTCTGACATCAGGAATTATGAGGTTCTGATGATTTTTTGAGCACTGGTGTCTTCTGCTTTAGACGCCTGTGAAATAGCAGGTGAAGAGGGGTGAAAGTGCTTATAATCTGCAACCCTGCAGAGTCTCTCTGGAAAAACCAGGATTATGCATTTGAAAGAAAATATGGTTTCGCTGGATATTTGAGTTGACACAGGAATGCCATTTTACTTCATTCCACTTCTACATATATGAGCAAACTACTCCATTTGAAAATATCCCCTTGGATTTTCTTCACTGTTCACAATAGCCTTCCACAAGCACCAACTGCACGGTTGTATAATCCAATAGCAGTTGTGGGTATTGCATTTCAACTTCTTCCAACATTACTTTCTTCCTCAAAAGAACAACAATAAAACAATAAAAATTCACTTTGTGTAAATGAAGAGTCTGCACAGATGACTCACTGAGGAAGAATCAAGCTTTTATCTGACAGACCTGGGGATTCTTGAAGAGGCAAATGTCAGAAGTAGGATAGGACAGACATCCGCCACCAATGAGCAAGGAGTTCCTTACCTGAGAAAGAAAAAACAAAGGTTCGTCTCTGTACCCCAGCCTTGTGTAGACAAACACGGGCAGAGAGCACTCCTGGGACGTCATGGCAGAGACCCTCAAGGACTCACGCACCCGAAAGCGCGAGAAGCGTAGAACGTTCTCACTGGCTCCCAGGGATTTCCTGACACCAATGGAAGGATATAAAGCAGCACTGCTATTCCAGAGCCAAGAGAGCTCATTGTTCCTCAAAATTTCCTCTTCTGGGCATGAACCAGTATAGTTTGGAGCATAAATATTATAATTGTGGCAATCAGGATATAAATAGTAGCCCCAAAGGCCCTTGGGTCGGCTCTTGATTCCCAATTTGATGGTTTCTGTCATGAAAGCTTTTGCACTTTTTTCAAAGGTTGCTTTTGCTAAATATTCTGTATCAGCAGCTGATACATTCTTTTGCATATCAGAAATAAGCTTTCTTGACTTCTGTCTATAGACATCTTTCATGTTCCAATTCCGGGCCCACTGTGGTCGCCAATGTTCCCAGTCTATCACAGCAAGTCCACTGAAGTCTTTGGCAGGGATGTAATAGTTGATGTCCTGATGTGCTTTTTCCAGATGCACTTGCAAACTTATATTCTGAGGGAGGCCTCCATTGACAGGAAAGCCCTCTGATGTATACCATGGATAATATCCCAATCTGTTGACATAAAATATAGTGACATTCTGTCCCCTGGCCTTGGCCAGTGGGCTTCCAGTGACCTGAAACATTTTCAAATTTAGTTTCAAATTGTATTTCATCAGACATTGATCAGTTGGAGCATTCCAAGCTGCAATAAAAGGTTTCCTTTGGTAAATTGGAAGCCGGGCAGGTTTTAGGGAAGAGATCGACTTCAGAATGAAAAGCATGAACAACCATGATGTGAGATGTATTGGCTGCACCATGCAAAGCTTTAGTTGTCCTTCAGATAACAGTTTCATCGTAAGAGAAAACTCCCGTTTTATCTTCTGTTGTAACGGAAGACCTGTGGAAAGATTTGATTTTCCATTAGGTATTATTTTGAGGAAAAGAAAAAAAGATTTACATACTGAATGATATTATCATATATTTATATTTCGAAGTACATTTCAGTTAAATGTCTTAAATGGATCTTAAAATAAATTGAGAAATACAGTAAGTGTAATAAATAAGCTTAAGTTTAGGGACAAAGACATTCAGTTTCGCACTCAGGGAACACCAGATCCCACGTCCAGGACACGGGGTCTTTGCTTCAAAGAGCTCATGAGCAAACAGATGTAACGTGATATTCATGATCACGTTGGAAAGTCCGTCAGCCTTCAGACATGACCTTCAAGGGCTTTCGAAGCATTGTTCTCATTTAATCTTTTAATAACTGTTTGAAGCTCAATGTCAAAAACATTACTTTTCCTTTGAAACTTAAAATTTCTTGCAGCCAAGATCAACCAACAGTCATCTTGGGAAAGCACACAAAGCCTTAAGACCACATTTTGAAGAAAATGTTCCCTCTGTCAACCTGTTTTTAACTAAGTTCCTTAAAATAACACAAAGTTGATTCAAATCTTCAGCTTTCTAATTAAAGCTTTTGAGTTGCGAAGCGATCCAGTGATCTGTGGAATGTGACTTCTTCAATGTCTGTAGCCAAGATTATAACCTAAAGCATTCTCTTCTCTCAAAATATGACCCAAATCATGAACTAGGTGAGTTGGGATATTAGACAAGTTCACCAAATAGAAACTGGGGGTGTGAAAGCCAACCTTAGCACTGATGGCTCATATTTAAGCAGCAGAGTGATCCAACTTCAGATTCAGGTGCAAGATTGGAGTAGGACAAACATTAGAAAATCTAGTGGGCCTGGCCAGATCTCATGGTCCTGGCCCACCAATTGGCTTAACTTCAAATTTTCCCGCAGTTTTCACAGGTATGGCTTGGAAGATAGGATTTACCTGGCCTTGTAAAGGACACCTTTATCTCTGCACAGACATGTATACTTTGGCAAGAGAAGAAATCTGAGCAAGATGAAATGTGCAAGCCTATGAAACTGTGTCACACAATGCAATGTAATAAATATATATATAAAAAGATGAAATGTGCAGGGATTGACTCCAAGCAGTTTGAAGAAAAGAACAATTCATTATAGAAACAGAGCAGCAGAAATTCCTATCAGAATTAGTAAATTCTCAAAACCTTTCACCTAGAAATTCAGCTTCTGTGTTACTCATTGCAGCACAGCTTACAATTACCGAGTCTGGAGTCGCAAGTGTCTCTTTAAGAGGCAGTATAAATAACAGATGGGTCACACTATATGTAGCTGTAATGGAGAGTGAAGTTGACTACTTTTGATATGGACATTCTCCAGACATTACAAAATATATATGTATGTAAGCATATATATACACACACACATATACATATGCTTCACTTTTTAGAAAGTAAGACATATAAAGCTTTTATACTTTCATTTTTCTAGGTTAGGTACACATACACTGCTACCATATATATATCAGAATATGGAATGGTCGCATTGCTTGCTTCTAGGGAGAACCAGGTGACCAAGTGAGAGAAGTGACCAAGGGTTGAAAGTAAGGAAGTAAGTTTTGGCTGGGGTTTTGTACTATGCTGCAAGGTAGCTAACAGGACTCACTGATTTAATTAGGAGTTTGTAAAGATCCTTGAAAGCACATAAGCAGATGCAAATTGATTCCGATTATAACAGAGGGTCACATAGGAGTTGAATACTTTTTAACGAAGATTTTTTTTTTAAATGTTACTGAAGGAAAGCGTATGCTTTTCTGCTATTTGGCAAGAGAGATCCCTTTTCAGGAGATAAAAAGGACTTAGTATTTTCATTGAACACAGAGATTGAAATAAGGCTCCACTCTGACACGCAAGAACTGAGAGCTAATTACAGGTTAATTAATTAGCTGTGGCAAAGAAAAACTAACAGTGGTTAATGGTTTAGTAGGGATTCAGTAGGAATGCTAATGATAGGGCTGAAGGACTTGATTAGCCTATTTATGCACCACAAAATGCAATCCACAATACCACTTATTGCAAGTGAGAAAATGTGCTGTAGAACAATAGGCCTGTGATTGTAAACAAGACAAGACTCTGCTTATGTCAGATAAAAATATTGGAGGAAATGCACGTGAAAAAGATGGGTTTGCTGGTTGCTCTTTATTTGTTGGGGTGCTCAACCAAATTTTAAATAATTCACCTTTTCAATTTTATGTTTTCTTGAATCTTCCTACACAGTCCAATGCAATTATATTTCACTCAATTATATCTTTTTAATAGAATGTAACCTCTGAGCTAATTTTTTATTCTCTGATTTTATGGAATAGTTCTTTTATGCTTCTTCACAATTTCCTTTCGCAAATCCTTTCTCAAATCTGAACACTCTGTTCAAATTCTGCCCAACTGCCCTGCTGTGTTTACAACACAAAATAAATAAATCTAAACACAATATGAAAAAAGCCACTTATGGAACAATAGACAAAACCTCACACCCTGAAGTCGTTACCACCCCGGCAGAGACATTTTCATTGTTCTTCTTACTCAATTTTGAAACTCCACTGCTTTCACTTACCTTTCTAAGTAAGCCAAGATGCACATTTGATTTCTTGAAGATAAGACTGGTAATATTTTATTTAAATATTTTTTTAAAAATCTATTTAGTTTTTACATTCATTTGAAAAACAGACTTCCAGAAATAAAGAGAAGACACAGGGAAAGGATATTCTGTCCCCAAATGGTTACAAGAACCTGGGTTGGGCAGGCCTGCGTCAGGAGCCTGGGGCTCTAGCCAGAGCTCCCACTGGGCAGCAGGGACCTAAGAGCCTGAGGCTGTAGCCAGAGCTCCCACTGGGCAGCAGGGACCTAAGAGCCTGGGGCTGTAGCCAGAGCTCCCACTGGGCAGCAGGGACCTAAGAGCCTGGGGCTGTAGCCAGAGCTCCCACTGAGCAGCAGGGACCTAAGAGCCTGGGGCTGTAGCCAGAGCTCCCACTGGGCAGCAGGGAGCTAAGAGCCTGGGGCTGTAGCCAGAGCTCCCACTGGGCAGCAGGGACCTAAGCAGCCAGGCTAGCTTCCGTTGCTTATTGACCCAGGAACATAAAAACTGCTGGATCAGAGGTGGTACTCCTGTGGGATGCCAGTGTGACAGGCGGAAGCGCAACATGCAGGGAGTACATACTGATGTTGTTCAATTTGAGTATTGGGTTATGATAATCCAACATACTGCAAAACGCTGTTTCCAGAGAAACTGTGCCCAAAGTGGCGCAATTAAGCAGACCTTGGGCAGCCATTAAAGGAAGAATCATTTAAAAACATAAATTTATGACAATACAAGTTGAAATTTTACCAATACATGTCAATGCCAAATGTACTTCTTTTGTTGTTCCATAAAATCAAGCTCATGCTTTGAAAGGTGTTGCCTTTGAAAAGTAGAGTAAGTTAGGCTTAACAAAACATATTCTAATAAATGTAAGTCAGTTTTTCTCTGAAAAAATAGATTTCTAAAACCAATCTTCACAATGTTTTAAATAGAGAGAGAGAGAGAGAAAAAAAAAAAGCACAGTTACCTTTGTTGTTTTCTGCTGGTCCTTTGGTGACCTGTGGCAAAGCAGAGGTTGAGCTTCAAAGGATGCCCCATCTGCTCAAAGAAACATGTCATTACAGATGTGACTCAGGCCTCCACGGTAACCTGGAAGCTTGCATTAAACCTCTTTAAAACTGGACTCAGCCTCTCTTTAAAAAAGCATCTTGGTATAAATGACCATTGCTTTCTGAAAATACCCAGTCTGAATTCACAGACTTAACGAGAAAGGAAAAGAACTTTGATTGAGACTGTTCTTGGAAAATAGGGAGGTAAAAAGAACTGTATATTTAAAGTGTCCAAATTAAAGAGAAAAGGGGGCTTTGTGAAGCACAACATATTTTATTTTAAACATAAATCTTCTTAATGATAATGGAATTAGTGGCTAATAGAAGAACATTAGTTACAATTCGATGGGGGGGGGGGGGGCTTCAAGTTAAATGAAGAGTCAACATTTTATACTCGTCCGGGAACAATTAACATGGTAGTAGGGATTAGAGGAAATGCAGTGGAATCACAGGTAAAGTCATGCAGAGAAAAGTTGGTAAACTGAAGGGTGTGATGGACGCTGTGTTCTTCCTTTTTGAGAGATCTGAAGTGGGCTGCTGATGGCAAGACTCCCCGTGCCAGCCATGATAGCAGTGGCACACAAATCCATTCTTCATGGCTGTCGTCGCCTTCAGCTTACTGCTTTCAGAAAGGGTGAACCTGAGGCTCTTACTGATGACGTACTTCCTGCGGCTGCTTTCCGGCATGTGCAGGTAGGAGGAGGACTCGGGTGTTTTGCGGACACATCTCCCATGACTGTTGCATAGAGTCTCACTGCAGAACTGGGCAGCAGACGTCACGTTAACCGCGTAATGGCCCAAGGGCCCTTGAACAGACTGCTTCACAGATAAGCAGGTCTCCTGTGGAGGAAATGGCACTCTCAGAATGCAATGTCATGATCCTGACATTAACGCCTCGAGTTCTGCATTTGGCAAGATCAGCGAGGATAAGAATTTCAGAAATAGTATCCACTTAATTGAGGGACTGAGCCTTTAAAAGGTCGAATGAGCGATAAACTTAAGAAGACTATTTTTTTTAAACACACAGATAACAAAACCAGAAATGAACAAATAGGACTATGTCAAGCTAAAGAAAGCTGCAAAATAATAGGCATAATCACGATAATGAGAAAGGAATATTTAGAGTGGCAAAAAATTAATAGGCCATTTATTTGATAAAACATTAATATCCAAAATGTTTAAGCAACTCCTGCCACCCAATAGCAAAATAAGAATGGCAAGCAACTTGAACAAATATTACTCGGAAGAAGGCATGAAAATAACCAAAAACAGGTGAAGAAATTCTTAGCATCATTATTATGTTTCCTTGAATGACATCAAGAAAATGTCAATCAAACTACAGAGTTCATCACCTCACACTTGTTATGATAACTATTATTTACAAAACAAAAGGAAAGGTGCTGATGAGCGTCTAAGGAAAATGAAATAGTTGTACCATGTTAGTGAGAATGTAAAATGGTGCCACAGCTATAAAAAAAATATTATATGTTGGGCCCAGTATGATAGACTAGTGGCCAAAAGTCCTTGCCTTGCACGTGCTGGGATCTCATATGGGTGCTGGTTCTAATCCCAGCAGCCCTGCTTCCCATCCAGCTCCCTGCTAGTAGTCTAGGAAAGCAGTCAAAGATGGCCCAAAGCCTTGGGACTCTGCACCTGCTTGGGAGACCTGGAAGTAGCTCCTGGCTTCTAGCTTCAGATTGGTTCAGCTCTGACCGTTGTGACCCCTTGGGGAGTGAATCAACAGACAGAAGATCTCTGTCTCTCCTTCTCTCTGTATGTCTACTTTTCCAATAAAAAAATAAATCTTAAACAAACAAACAAAAAAAAACACTGTGTGTTGTGGGGTAGGCATCTCATTTAGGGTCACTGAAGCCAGTTCTCCACCAACACCCAGGTGTTCCTCCTGCCTCCCTCCGCTTTCTTTTCTAAGCTGAGATTCAGAGGTTAAGTAACTTGCCCCAAATTACACTCTTACAATGGATAGTCTCAGTCTCTCACTTAGGACTGTCTGACGGGAAGGACTGCGCTGTTCCCATCCTCCTCTAAGCACAGACGCTGGTACAGAGCAGGTGATCACAAAGTGTCCGTCCCTTTAGTCTTTGAGCTTCACTAATGCTAAGTGAGCAAATAATATGCAACCATTTGCCCCTGTTGTGAAAATTTTTAAAAATTCCAAAGCAATATCCGAGAGGTATTCTGGATGCAGAGAAAGCATGACTTACCTTCGAGACAGTGTACTCATCTCCTCCCCACAGGATTACTCCTGCCGCCCCTAAGGCAGCACTTTCGCCAATCGTATGCACTAGGTCTTCCTAGAAAACAGAAATGTCAGACGTGGCTTCCATCCAAGCAAACTTAGAGATGGATAATTCAGTAATAAAACTTAGAGACCTGCATGTTGCGTGGCTTGCGTTGCCCTTATCCCTGTTCAGCATGCTTTGACTTCTGGCTGCTCCGCTTCTGACTCAGCTCCTTGTTAAGCAGCTGGTAAACAACCGAACATGTCCCAAGCTCTTGGACTGCTGCTACCATATGGGGAATAGAGTTCCAGGCTCGTGGCTTCAGCTTTTCTTTTTTTAATTCACTACTTGCCAGTGCTTTGAAAATCCATGCAAAGTATACTGATGTCTTTTACCATTATTACCTGTAATAATTCCTACTAATTCTCCAGATTCTTTAGAACCCACTTCTTTTTTTTTTCAAAGATTTATTTATTTTTGTCTGAAAGTCAGATATACAGAGAGGAGGAGAGAGAGAGTATCTTCCATCTGATGATTCACTCCCCAAGTGGCCGCAAGGGCCAGAGCTGAGCTGATTCAAAGCCAGGAGCCTGAAGCCTCTTACAGGTCTCCCATGCGGGTGCAGGAACCCAAGGCTTTGAGCCATCCTTGATTGCTTTCCCAGGCCACAAGCAGGGAGCTGGATGGGAAGCAGGGATTAGAACCAGCATGCATATGGGATCCTGGAGTGTTCAAGATGAGGACTTTAGTCACTAGGCTACTGCACTGGACCCTTAGCTTCAGCTTGACCTCATCCCAGGCTCAGGAGCCATTTGGGGAATGAAGCTATGAAAACTCTCAATCTCTCTCTCTCTCTCTCTCTCTCTCTCTCTCTCTGTCCTTTTCTTTCTCTCCCCCTCCCTCTCCCTGTAATTCTGCCTTTCAAATAAATAAAGTCTTTAGAAAATCATAACACTCAACCCATGAACTTAAAAGGGTATTAGTAATGTTATCATTGTTTCTAAAACAGGGAACTATAGCAAAATATAGAAAAGTGATTATTTTCCTTGGATTTTTCAATTATTTGATAATGCAGTGTTCCAGGCAATGTTGCTATAAATAACAGACTCTGGGTCCTGTTCTTAAAGATGTGCTTTAACGTGATGGCTTGGGCAGACATATGAGCAAGAAATTGCAGGATCATAACTTCCATATTAGCATTGCTCACATGGCATATATTGGATAGAAATACTAAATAGTGCATGGAAAGGAATGTGGGAAGGCTTCTTTGAACAGGTTAGATTGCAAGAGGGTCCCTAGGAATGACAGGAAGCTTGCTGGGGAGAGCAGACTTGCATGTTCACAAAGAAGAATAAATCAGAGGTTTATCTGAAGACAAGAACGCCAGCCCTCCAGATCACAGCTCCTTGTGGAAAAGGACACAGAATTCAAGTAGTATGTGAACCTCTGTATGTAAGTCAATACCTAAGTTTCAAAAATGCTATTTTAAAGAATTGTAACTTGGCCATTACACACTTTAGTACTAGAAAGGCACAAATTTGCATCTTTGAAAGATAATTTTACATGCTGTGTAAAACACGCACTGGGGTTTAGGTCAGGATAATCAAGACAAGGACACCAGTCAGGAGATGATGACCATTATTCAGTAAGAAATGATAGAGCTGCAACAAAGGCCATGCCAGTCCTTGTGTAACACGGGAGACAGCTGAACAGTTACTTGGAAAATAAGATGGAAAAGTCAGGAAGAGCTAGGGAGTACCTAAGCAACCTTCAAGTTGAGAAGCTACATAGATTATAACTCACCAAGAATCTGAGAAGGTGGCGTTTCATATCATAGACCAAGAGTCAAGAAATGGGAGAGAGATGGAACATAGAGGGGATATCCAACGGGGCAACCTGCCTTCTTTCCCCACCTACAAAGTCTGGAGAGTCACAGGTCCAGGGCAGAAATGTGGCACTCAAAACCAGTGGTGAGTAAATGACCAGGCAACAGCAACGCTTCCCTTAATGGTAGCAAGGTTCCACTACGGTAAGTTTTCCCTGAACTGAAGTGCTTGAAACCTGGAGTGCTTCAGATTTGGGATTTTGAAAAATTCTGAAATACTTGCATGTATGAAATGAGATGTCTTGATGACAGAATGCAAGCCTGAATGTAAAATCCCTTCATGTTTCATTCGCACCTTGCCCGCAGCTGGTTTGACTGTGACCCTAACACACGAGGCCAAGTTTGTGCTGTCACAACGGAGCTCACAGTGTCAGACTTTTAGGTTTTTCAGATTAGGGATAATACATGAGTTCTGCAATTTTTTTTTTAATGTAACATAGTAACAAAGAAAGTCATTCTTACATTATATTGATTGGTGTCCCATGCCATACTCACAAATCAAGTTTTTACCTCAATTAGGACTCTTCTAAAGACAAGACCAAGCAGAGTGGTAAAGAAAACTTAGAACTGAAAAGTGATGGCACTTAGACAAAAGATGCGAAATCTACACTCTGTTAATATATGAAACACAACAGGAAACCATCAAAACATTTCAGAATGAAATCCAATTAACTCTGTGAATAAACTTCCTAATGATTCCTGAAGTACAGTTCCAAGATACCTTAGCTCATTGTTTCATCAGAATGTAGCGGTGCGTGACAGAAGAGCTCGAACAAGGCTTTCATGAAACTGTCTCCTTCTCTCATTGTCTTTTCCAAATGAACTATCTGACCAAATATAGTTATCATTTTTTTTTCACTATGATTTTTAATAACATATGATTCCTAACACTTTTTAGGCACTCAGTAAATAGTTTGTTAAGATTTATTTTATTTATTTGAAAGACAGGCTGACCTAGAAGAAAGCAGAAACAAAGAAAACAGACCTTCCCTCTGCTGATAGGCGCCCCAAAGGGTCACATTGATCAGGGCTGGGCCAGGCCACTCCAGAAGCTCACAACATCTGGGGATCCCATGTTGGGTTTTGGGAAACAAATAGTCAATCATTTCCTGCTACTCTCCCAGGCCACCGTATCAGGAACTTGGTCAGAAGTAATTGAGACTCAAGTTGGTGTTGCAATATGGGATGCTGTGTGGAGGTGGCAGCTTAACCCACTATGCCATAATACCGCAATAAATATTTTTATGATTAAATGTAATCTCATCTTTTTCCAAATGCTCTTTGAGAAAATGACACTCTTTGAGAGATTTGTCACTTGAGAAATACCACAGCAAAAGATAGGATTGATGTTTTAAAACTCCCAAAGCCCTGGATTATTAAAGGATTTTGTTTATTCTATGACAGAGCAGAAGATAGAACTAGGAGTATGAAGTTTTCCAGGGACAATGTAGATGCAAAACACTCAAAAATGTTCTATACATTTCTATTGCTTAATGGCAGTTTTCCTTCTTACGTAGGCCCAGGTCAGAAAAGATTCAAGGCAATGTGAGAGGGGCGTCTGAGATTCCTCAACTCTCCATAACACTGTAGTTGTTCTCTTCCTCAATTTGTTGCATGAACATCCATAATAATAAGTCAAATCTAAACAACAGCATTTAGGTCTATTGATTTTATTTTGTAAATGGCTTTTGCACTTAAATATCCTTGTTTCAAACATAAATGGTCCAAGAAAGTGAGATTATTAATCATGTAGCCAACAGGCCTGCCTCTTTATTAGAAAATCGCTAGCGTTCAGCTGTGGATGGAGAGTTGGGGATCATCTTCCCTATCTAACTGCACCCATCGCACGCCCTCGGTGACAATCTGACTCCCAGTTTCTGCACATTTTTCAACTCCCAAGCAACATCTCCACATCTCTGCACTTCCTAAGTGTGTTGAGTATAAAGATTATCTATTTGTTTTATAAAAACCACTTTCACTGGCTCAGTAATAACCACTTGATGGCATCATGGGCACTTAAAGGCAAAATCAACACTTCCTTTTTTAAAAAGCAGTGAAACTAAACATAGAAATGCAATATGATAGGGACTGGCAAGATGACGGCGCACGGGAGCCTTCTGTCTACAGTGCTGGCACCCCATGTAGGCACTGCTGGTGTCCAGCTGCTCCACTCTGATCTGGCTCCCTACTACAGTCCTGGGAAAGCAGCAGAAGATGGCTTAAGTGCAACCTGGAGACCCAGAAGAAGCTCCTGACTCCAAGCTTCAGATTGGCCTAGCTACCTGCGGGGTAAATCTGGGGGCAAACCATTGCAGCTACCTGGGGGTAAACGAGGGGACTAGAAGTTTATCCTCTGTCTCTCCCTTTCTCTATATAACTCTGATTTTCAAGTAAACAAATATTTTTAAGAATTCTACATAATAAAAAATATGATTCCTTAGCGATTTCACCCTAAGTTCTAAGTTTCTGAATGGAAACATGCTCTATGCTATTTTTTATTCTTTTTATTTTTTTTTAAGAAAAAAAGAATTTTGTGTTTCAACTCTTTTTGTTTATTTATTTATTTGGGAAGCAGAGGTGGAGAGAGATCCTCCCCTCTCTGGTTTAATCCGCACATGGATCCCAGTGAGCCACGCCAAAGCTGAGAGCCAGCAGTTTCATCCAGGTCTTCCACGCAGGTGCAGAGCCCGAGCATGTGAACCATCCCCCACAGCTTTTCTAGGCACGTTAGCAGGAAGCTGGAACAGAATGAGAGCAGCCGGGACAGGAACCGGTGCCCAACACAGAACGCCGACCCGGTTATCCCCTGTGGGCCACAGCGCTGGACCATGGCTGTGCGCCTTCCTGTTTAGAAGCTCATTCTGGAACCTCTCCTTGGTTAAAGTTAATCTGTTAACATTAATCACCTAAAGATGAACAATTTTCCTGCAGGAAACTCTTGTGAAATTTAAGCTAGAAAAAAAAAATGAATCGAAACCTGTTGGTGTATGCCTATCCACCCATGACGCTGTACAGAACCAGGCTATATAGACCTCTAATACTGGAATAACGTTCTGTAACTAAGAGAAAATACATATTACTCAACATTTCCGTCTAGACAGTTACGTACGATTCTACTAAATGCCATTTCTCTTTTAGGTGTCAGGCTGTGCCTTTTCTTACCTGAGACAGGGTTTCAATGCTACGTAAATAAAACGGCCTGGAAAAGACAAACACGGGCAGGACGTAGTCCCGTGTAGTCAGAGCTGCAACCCTCATGGCTTCTCTAACTCGATAATGGACAAATTTCAAAGCATTTGCACTCGACTTCAGCATTTTGTCCAAATATATGGAAGGAAAAAGGGCGGTGCTCCTTTCCCACAGCCACAGGAGCTGATCGTTGCGGAGTAGCTCGCCGTCTGGGCAGTTGCCTGTGTAGTTCTCTGAATTTACCCTGTAATCGTAATTGTAGCAATCGGGATAGAGATAGAAGCCCCATAAACGTTTGGGTCTCATTTCTCTAGCCAGGGTGAGAGTCGTATTCATCAAATTCCTTCCAGCACTCTCAAATTCCAGTTGGGCAATTCTAGCCATTTCTGTTTCTGACCAGTTAGGATGACGGTCTCTCGCAAAGGCTAAGGAGTGTTCCTTGTAGATTATTCTGTTGCCCCAGTTTCTCTCCCACTGGGGTTTCCAGCTTTCCCAGTCAATAACCACAAGCCCTTCCGATCTCCACCACAGAACCTTCTCTGTAATGTCATCAGCAGCTTTCCTAAGGTGTCTCGGGAGGCTCATGTTCTGTGGTATCCCCCCGTTAAAGGGCTCTCCATCTCGAGAGAAGTAAGGGTAATAGCCCAACTCGTTTGGGTAGAATATGGTGATTGTTGATCCACTTTGAGTCTCTGAAGGATTGGATAAAATGTTAAACACCTTGAGGTCCATATTCACGTTGAAAGCATCTCTGCAATAGATGGTTGGAGCAGCCCAGAAGATGTTGAAAGGCTGGTTCTCAATCACAGGGTGCATTGCTGGCTTGAGGTCTGGCAGTGTGTCCACAGATAATAACAGCAACACCCCCAATCCTGTCAACCACGGGTTACTCATGTCGTGCAGGTGTCAGCATTGCAAACAACTTCCTTAAAAACAAAAAGGATGAAAATTAGGCCTGCTGGAGTCCTGTCACTTAGAAGTACACAGGAACAGGTCAGATCTTTTAAAAACACTTTGAGATTTATTAATACAGCCCAGCTCTTGCCACTGTGGCCATTATGGGAGTGAACCAGCAGATGGAAGTCTCTCACTCTGTCTCTTCTTCTCTTAGCTTTTCTTAAAAAAAAAAAGATTTATTATTATTATTTTATTATTTTTGGAAATTCAGATATACAGAGAGGACTAGAGACAGAAAGGAAGATCTTCCATCTGATGACTCACTCCCCAAGGAGCTGCAATGGCCGATCTTAGCCAATCTGAAGCCAGGAGCGAGGTGCTTCTCCCAGGTCTCCCACGCGGGTGCAGAGTCCTAAGGCTTTGGGCTGTTCTCGACTGTTTTCCCAGGCCACAAGCAGGGAGCTGGAAGGGAAGTGGGGCTGCTGGGACTAGAACTGGTGCTCATATGGGATCCTGGCACATGTAAGGAATGGACTTTAGCCACTAAGCTACTGCACTGGGCCCTTCTCTCTGCCAAATCTTTAAAAAAAAAAAAAAAAAAGAGCAGTCAATATTTGAATAGGTGCCCACATGGGATGCCAGCATCACTAAACCTGCTATGCCACAACACTGGCCCCTTCATTTGGTCACTGTTTTTATCTCTTTCATAAATTCAGGCTGAACTTTGGTCTTCTTAATTTCTACTTACTGAACTCTTCAGTGAATCATGAGGCCTTTGACTATCACGTAAATTAAAAATGTTATCTCAAAAAGGAAAGAATTAAAATGAAGAAAGGAAGGAAGAGAGAGAAAAGGAAAAAGGACAGGAAAGATAAAAAGAACAGGAAAGAGGAGGGGGGAAAAAGGGAGGAAAAATGGGAGAAGAAAATATTAATGTTTTCTTAGAATTTTATATATTAAAGTAGCAAAGCAGTTCCCCTTGAAAGTAGAAAAGGCTGAAACAGAAAGCAGGAAGCAATGTCAATTACCTTGAGTTGATTACAGATTTTTCACACCTGTATTTCTCAGACATGTCAACAAACCTACAATCCAATTTGTTCTTTCGTTCCACAGTTTTCCTGTAAAGAAACAAGACTGAATTCCAGCAGTTAAATCCCAACAGTGACTTGGCTCTTTCATGCCTTCTCCCTAGTCAGTTGGGGAAAAAAACTGCCAAAGAATCTTGCCAGGATGTAAGAACTCTGTAGTCAGTACGATCTCATCCTGAAACCGATGTGATCGAACTTACAAAGCTGTTTCATTATGTCCTTTGTATAAACAAGTAAGAGAACCGGAATCTTCTCTGACACAGTTCAACTCGGTCTTGTTAACGAGGTGTGCATTGCGCAGTTTCTGTTGTCTTCACATGGCAAGCACAGGAAAAGGCATGCACTCTCGCAGTAGAAGCCCACAAGAGCAAGCCCTAGGCTTTCTACACTGCACGGTCAACTTTCTAGTCAACAAACGTGAGTGCTAATTTACTGCTTGCACTAAACCGACTCCCTGTGAAATTTGTACTTAGCTCCAGGTAAGTCTCCGTGTCGCCGAAGAAGGTTCCACACACCTGATCCTTCTCGGGCCAGGAGATCTAATGTCTGTTTCCCCGCTAAAATAACAGAAGTAAACCTTCCTCTTCATTGTGTCCACTGTGGGGAGGAATGCAAGGGTCCCCCCTCCCCACAAATATCAAACTTTATATTCCTCCTACCCTGATGGTACATGTGGACTCGGACAGCCCTGTGTAAGCATGGGTTCCACACTTATAAATCCAACCAAGTGCAGATAAAAAATACTTGAGGAAAGTAAATGGGTCTGTAACTGAATGGGTAAGACTTTTCTTGTCATTATTCATCTATTTACGTAGCATTTTCATTTTGGTGTTTAAGCAATCTAGAAATGATGATAATGGTACTGGAGGATTGTATAGGCTGCATCTAAACACCGCACCATTTGGGATAATGTATGTGAACATCTACAGAATCTGGTATCTCAGGGGCACCTGTAGCCCATCCCCTCGGTATCCCAAGGACTGACTAGTACACCTAGTAAGCTGTGCCTTCCACGGAAAAGAAAAACTGGTTGAAAAGCACATCACAGGAAACTTTGCAGAAATAAAGTGACTTAAATACAAAATATTGCACTTTTGTAAAATCCAGCAACAAATTTCCTTTTCCAGAAGATTTTGATTATATTTTCTGGATATATAGACATTATTATATATAGAGAGAATATATATATGGGTATATAGAAAAAATATTTTTGATTTTATTGTAATCTCAAGTATATATTGCATTTTATTTTCTGATATTAATGTATTTAAAAGGCAGAGTGACAGAAAGATCAGGAAAGACAAAGACAAGAGAGACATTGACCATCTACTGGTTTATTTACACCCCAGATGTGTGCCAAGCCAGGGGTCTGGACCAGGTATAATGCAGGACCCCAGCACTGCACCCAGGTCTTCCACGCAAATGTCAGAGCCCAGGCAGTTAGACCATCTCCCACTGCTTTCCCGCGTGCATTGAAATGGAAAAGGAATGGCTCAAAGTGGCAGTTTGCTATATGATGCTGACAGCACAGGTGGTGGCTAGCCCTCTGAGCCACAGCACTGGCTATCAGAGTTGCATCTTATAACAAACTTTCACTAAGCTACAAAATCATGCAGTGTGAGTAATATAAAGCTTATAATTAGTTATTTTCACACAATATCTATTGATATTTTACTTACGTTTCCAATCACAGTGTCAGGTTAGATTGACAGTTTTCCATTCATAGCGTATATAAACCCATATGTATTCGTGCACACAATTACAAACATAGCCTTGATTTTCTGTTCAACGATTAGGAGTATCTGATGTGTTTTGGTGAATCAGGTCAAGGGAAGACTTGTTGAGAGAACATAATTCTGCATGTTGCAAAAATCGTACGCATCCAAATGTAAAATACAAGAATTATATAGCTCCTAGAAATTTCCAGAATACTTTGGGGAAGGGAATGATAGTGATTCTTTGCATACAACACCAAAGAAACAGCCTACAAAGTAAACAGTTGTCAAGGTAGCCTTCGTTAAAGGAATATTTTTTTACTCTGTGAAAGCGACTGGCAAGAGTATGAAGACAAGCCACACACTGGAAGAAAATATTTGCAAAAGAAGTATCTAATGAAGAACTGAAACTAAAATAAACAAACGCATTTAACACATGACCGTAGGAAAATGAACAGGCCAAGGGCTTACATGGGTGTTACCAAGGCAGTGACGTGGATTCCTGCTAAGGGTAAGGAACATGGTCAACAACAGAACTTTTGGGCAGTGGAAATGAAAATAACAGTAACACATCTCTACATCCTGCTTTAAAGCCCAAAGTCCAGAACTATTCCAGCGTTAGCTGCTAATCAGCACGTCCAGCATGTATTACCCAACCAAATAACATTCTGGAAACCACCCCCCCACCCCCCAAAATACAGACAGTATTTGATCACTGGAGGCCAAGGGTTCAAGGGAGAGAAAGATGGAAAGGCAGAATAGAGAGGATTTGAGTCAGTAGAACTATAACGCATCGAGCGCATAGGACACATAGGTTCCTATGGAACTGGAGCTGCCGGTCTCCACGCAAAGATCACAGCGTGACCGCGTCGCCTCGCCGTCTGGCCCATCCTGCCTCTTGTTCAAACATCTTCCAGCTCCATTTAAGAGAGAGCTGTGGCACAGGAAAAAGAGCTTGATCATAACCACCTTACTGACCTTCCAACTCTTCCACAAACTGAAAGAAGCAGCGAGCTTCCCAGCTGTGGCCCGGCCCTGCGGTAGCGCCTTCTTTCCCAAGGTTACTTGTAGGCACAGGATGAACATTCCCCTCTTTTTCAGACAGCTTTACTTCTTGTAGGTAGACTAGAACATTGCGATATGTTTTATGATTTTGAAAAGCAAAGTGACAGACAAAGTGTAAAACAAAGAGAGAGGAGAGATTCCCCATCTTGTGGTTCAGTCAGCAAATGCCCATAGCATCTCCCTCTGGCCCAGGCTGAAAACAGGGACTCCGTCCCAGCAGCCTAGCTGGGCGCCCAAAGCCCTCGTCCTTGGGCCCCCATCCACCGCCTCCAAGGCACATTAGCAGGAAGCCAGATTGAAGACAGAGATGGGATTGAATCCCAGGCACCTGACTGAGAGGTGGGCACAGGATTTGGCCCACTGCAAGTTCTTTGTAAATCTTCGCTCAAGAGTTCTGGTTCATGACAATGTTTTTAAGGAATCAAAGTCAGAGGTTCCATTGACTCCAGTTTTCTTAACATATTTTGCCTCTTAATCACACTGCTACCTCTGGTTTCATGCAAGACTGACTTAAGACATCCAACTGTACAGCTGCAAATTCTTTACTTACAATGGATGGCTTTTAATTCCAAAGCTCCTGATATTCTACACTGTCCTGAATAAAAGCTTCAACATTTGTATGCTAATACGGAGTCTTTGAAACAGCAAATTTTTCCTTAGAAAGTTGCTGGCTTTAGGAACTGTGAAAGCATAGCGCCATCTGGTGGATCATAATGGAATAATTTTTGGGAAATCGCTTATCGGGGAATATGTAACAGTGGGAGCTTTATAAATTATTGTACCTGCTATAGTTATAATTAAGTTTCCAAATAAAATATTTTCAGGCTCTGAAACTGAGACCTGATGGGTTAAATCTTCTGGTTAGAATACAAATAAGTGGAAAGCTTTGTCTTTTTTTCAAATCACCATTTCTGATTGATTGCTATATATGAAACTGCATAAATTAGACTCTGATACTGTTGAGAAGGTTGCCAGGAATAACCCGCCTTGACAGTTTCAGAAAGTCTGTGGTTCAGGGTCCGCAGAGCCAGCCTGAGGTCAGCTGGGCACTTGCTAGGAACCGGCCACCAGAGGGCTCCTCTTCACACCCATTCATTGGACAGTAAAACAAGTGGCTGGCTGTTTTAAC